AGACAGTCCAGCATTCCTTCACAGTACTGTTGCGATCCTTGTTTGGATCTTCATCATGCCTTACCAGATTTCTTGTTATGCCTTGTAAATAAACTTAAATATTGCATATCTGAACAATCATAACACAGATTTCTGCTATGTTTCTTGCACTGGTATTCACTAACTTGTGAATTGCAGGTATATAGAGAATTTTAAATCTATCGCCAAAAGAGCACAGCTCAAAATATATCTGACTTGTATAATTTATAATTTATTTATAATTTATAATTTTTCTATCGTGACCTACAATTTTAAAGTCATCTGAATCCACATTGAATTCCCAAGATTCACAGTTTATTGAAAACCCTGCTTATTTTATCATTCAAAAACAGAATATGAGAAGTCTGAGAATGGACGTTGCACATCTGGGTTACCCTTTTAACTTAAGGAGACCCTAAGCAAATGCATTAAAGCAAAAACAGAGATCATAAGAACTAAAGGACATTTACATCCCACCATTGTTCCCACTCTAAAAATATGGCAGCAACTATGAAAACTGCCCAATGTATCCAACCACCCCCCTCCGCCCTATACCCAATTACACACAAACCATTGTTCCGTCCAGGTACATCAATAGCCCATTACAACACACTCTACCTCACTCTAGGCAGGATGGTCGCCACGACTGGTATTTGCCCTTTGCAAGAACTTCTTCCTCAGACACAACTCTCTCTCAAATGCTATGGTCCCGCCACTCACAAATGACACACTTTCTCAACTCCTGACCAGAACTTTTACAGGGTTACAGAGACGTGATGTACTTTGAAACCCTCTGTTCAAATTGTCTGCTTAAAAAACCAAACATTTATCCACACTCTACAAACTAATTCAAAACACACTTCACCCCCTCACCCTAGATTTATGACCGCATGGGAAGAGGAACTCCACCTCTCATTCTCCAACACTGAATATACACGTATCTACTCAAACATATTCCATGCTCTTTTAGCAACTCCACCCAGGAGAACAATTACAAAAGAATAGCAAGGTGGCACTACACACCTTCGCACCTGCACCATCTGTTTCCTCAAATCTCAGAGATGTCAACGGTCCAAAGGTACACAAGTCCACATCTGGTGAACATCTGAAGTTACACAACCGTACTGGAAGTGGGTAGCATCCCTTATCCACGCCATCACCAGACAACTCATACGGGGTACAATACAAGATCCTAGGCAGCAAGGTTTGTTAGGGATCAGACCTCTTATAGAAGAACAGAAATCTGACGATACCCACACCTAGGAATAAAGATCCATGCAATGAGATTCCATACACCTGCATTCACCCGACTCATATGTTTCACGGTTATCCCCGTGCCATCTAGACGGCTAGGCATGGCCA